CAAAGATCAGCTGACTGAATCCTTCTGGTTGTATTAAATTAATATATTCCTTAGAGACACTTGTTTTTGTAAGAGTATTTATATTAGTATCACCCATTAAAATGCATTTTTTCTCAGAGAGAAAAACATTGTGTAGAGGTCTTTCGAGTTTGTCTAAAAATTCTGGGTTTGAAAAATTTGGGGGTTTATAAATGACACCCACAATCATATCATTAGTTTCTATCCATAGGTTTTCAATTGAGTCTATTTTGAGGTCATTTCTAATTGAGAAAGAATAGCCTGATCTGACATACAAAGCAACACCGCCACCTGTCGAAAAGGTGCGATTTTCATTCTCTATTTTCCAATTCCCCATAATACACTCTGTTTGCCCCCCAAATTTTGCATAAACCATTGTTTTTAAATGCTCCTGGGAGTATTGCATTTTCCCAAGAGCATTTTAAGACAATAAGTTATGCAAAATTTGGAGTAAAGTGTAACCTGGGATTTGAAAACGTGTATAATCAGTTTCAGAGGTGAACGATGTCTCGGAGCAACCGATAAAATCAAACTTACATGAAGTCGAATCCAGAAGATTGCACATTTGTTCGAAATGTTGTTTTAAACTTCCAAATATGGTTGGATTGTCCCGTTGAAAGATAAAAAAGGAGAAACTGTCACAGAAGCATTCAAAACCATCTTCAAAGAGGGCCGTAAACCACAATATCTATATGGACTGATAACGGGAAAGAATATTATAACAAACACATGAAGGAACTGTTGCAGAAGCATAACATAACACTATACCCAACCGAAAATGAGGAAAAATCTAGTGTTTGTGAAAGATGGAACCGTATAATTAAAACCAAGATGTGGAAGCAATTTACTGTCCAGGGTAATACCCAATATCTCAGTATACTACCAAAAATACTGGAGCAGTATAACAACACCAAGCACAGTTCCATTAAGATGAAATCTTTAGAAGCCAGTAAAAAGAAGATTGAAAGTTCCATGTATTTTAATCTATATGGTGATATGGAGCAGTTGTCATCCAAGCCTAGGTTCAAGGTTGACGATAATGTCAGGATAAGTAATATAAGTACAAAAGGAAAATATTTGACAAAGGCTATACACCTAACTGGACTGAAGAAATATTCCTTATTGATAAAATCCAACCCACAAATCCAATCACCCGCAGATTAAAGGATCTCAACAACGAGGAGACACAAGGGAGCTTTTATGAACCGGAATTACTAAAGGCAACACAAGATATATTCCGCATTGATAGAGTCATTCGGAGAGACTATAAGAAAAAACAAGCTCTTGTGAAGTGGTTGGGTTATTATAGGTGACGACTTTAATTCCTGGATTCCACTGAGCAGTTAACAACATTTCTCTAACTAATAGTTTAAATGGACGATCACATAAGAAAGCTAAACACTAAGATCCGCAATAAGGAAACCGAGCTCAATGAACTATTTACTATAATCCAAAAAAATTGGAAAAAGAGATTGCCACATTAAATCAAAAAAAATTAGTTCCGAAAAAAATTGGAAACAGCAGAAATGTCATTAGCCGGCGTCCTTGAAGTGATCTTTTAAGTGGAGGAGGAGGAAGAAAAAGAGTAATTTTAATACAACCCTTATATAATCAATGGTGTATAGGTGGTTTTCACGTTACGTCATCGCCGCCATGTTTGTGGACGGTAAACAAAAGATCGCTCATTAGCTCGCTTTGTTTGTCCACCAGCATTTGTTCATTTCATCATTGTTATTTGTGTCTCCCGAGATTGCATGAAAACCACCTATATGTTGGAAAAATTGTTCTATAATGTAGACTTGGATGTAGAGCTTACTTCATTCATAGATAAAAAACAAAATGTATGGTTCAAGGGTAAGGACGTTGCCCTAATCCTTGGCTATAGTGACACGGATCAGGCTTTAACAAAGAATGTATCAGATGAAAACAAAATAAAACAGCTCTCGAGGCAACAGCGTGAAACACGCAGTTGGTCTGAGGGTAAAAAACAGTGCTCAGGGCAACCCGTCCCGCAGACGGGTTGGTCCAAAACAACTTTTATCAATGAACCCGGCTTTTATGAACTTGTTTTTGGCTCAAAATTAGAAACCGCAAAAACGTTCCGTAATTAGGTATTCACACAAGTGCTTCCATCGATCAGAAAGTATTGTCAGTACAAACTATTCGACAACCCGAATAACAAAATGTTTAAGATTGAAAATGAAACAGATCTACCCTGCAAAGTTGTACACCTAATCAGATACTATTATCCAATAGACCTTATTGTAGCAGGACTTGGAGAAAACCAAGATACTCCATTGAAAAGAATTGATAGTTGGAAAAAGGGTTATACCAAATGTCAGCCTGATCTGATGGTGCTTAACTACCACAAAGATTATAATGCCCTTTGTACTGAATTGAAATCTCCGACCAATAATTACCAAATTTCACATACTTAAAGAGTGATGAAAAAACGGTACAAGGAAAATTGCTACCAATTCATCCTAAGAAATGACTATGATCACATCTGTAAAGAAGTACATAATTACATGACTGGTACTCGTGTGCCGTGTAAATACTGTGACAAAGCGTTCCTAAATAAAGAAACACAAAAAACCCATCATCAGGCCATTCATAGAATAACCAAATAAAATCCACGTTTGTGGACCCGTTCTTACACTTTGCATTTAGATTTGCACGCAGATCTGAGTATAAAACTTATTTTAGCTCTTAATCAAGTTCTTTCAAAATATCCTCCAGTGCGAGCAAATCATTTTTATAACTTATTAACTCTTTTAACATCTTATTATCAGCTCTATGCAATAGTTTTGAGATAAGTTCCGCTTTTTCATTTGCAGCATCAGTATTTGAATTCTTGATTATTATTTTTACCGTTATATATATGTATTATATTATTCCCCAATTCCTGGAAATTCCAAACTAAGTTCTAAATCCAAAACCGCTTTGCCACACTCAAAATCGGATTTGAAAATGAACCGTAATAAATTTCCAAAATGCTTTTCCCAAGGTCAAATCCGGTTTTAAAACTTACCAATGGAAATTTCTAAAAGCCAGAACCGGTTTTGAAAATTATTTCCAGTATAAGGCGCCAACCAAAAATTCCAAGAAAAATCCAACACAAAAATTCCTGGAAAGACCAAAGACAAAACTGTGCTGGTGAGCCCAATTACCATACTTCCAAATCCAAAACTGATTTCTGCTACCCAAAATCAGTTTTGAAAATTATGTCCAGTATAAAGCCCAACCAAAAATTCCAAGGAAAATCCCCAAATAAAATTCCTGGAAAGACCAAAGACAAAACAATTACTATACTACTTCATCATCATCATCCTCCTTACTGGTGATAAAGGAAAAGTCTCTGGGAGAGCGATAGGAGGCCCCCAAATGGAACAGGGGTGCTTCACGTGCTTGCCGTCTCTTTTAAGGGTTTAAATCAGTTGGGGTATTTTCCTTAGGGTATTATGTTTACTATATACATACTCAGACCTAAAATATTTTGACAGCCTTAGCTTATTTGAAATCTTACCAAAATGCTAAAATGATAAAGCAGCAGCTACACACCGTTAATTTGCAAAGAAAACTACGTGATATTTCAAAAACTATTAAGAAAAAAAATTAAAATTTAAAAGTAACAAGTAATATTTTAACTTTGTCTTCTGAATCTACAGGTAAAGATCAAATGCCAAATAAGTGGCAATTTTTAGTAAAACGTCTGGTTTGAATAGCAAAAGACGAAATAGTAGAACTCTCCCTTACTTTTCGTTCTGTTTTTCTCTTTCAGCTGTTGTTTTGCATACTATCTATAATTTTCCTTTTTTAACTTTTTGAAATATGCGCAATTGTCATGTACTGTCCAATTTCAGAACAGTTGTTCACTTTTCTACAGGAAAAACTCTCCTCTGTAACTCCTCTGCAAATGCTGTCGTTAAATGACTGAGATTTTGATTGGATGAACCATTTTTTCTCAGGTGTAAAAAACATCGGAAATTCATTTGTGTATGAAAGGTTTATACGACATAGTATTTCTTTGTGTATATCTCAGTATGTTTAACATGAAGAGCTTTTCTGGTGAGACAAAAATTTGTTCTGTCAACTGTTAGTTGACCCGAGGAAACCGAAAGACGTTTTGATTGTTCAAGAGATGCCATCTGATTGAACAAGAAATTGTAGGATGGATGGCACTTTCCAAAATAATAATTTAGTTAGGCTAAAAAACAGTCTACTCTAGAAGGTGGCTCGAGATCCAGGGAGAAATGTATATGTTGGTACGACGACTTAGCTACTCAAATTTTCTATACCACTCATAAACTATTTATTTGTTAGCAGCTAGTAATAATTAAACAAACAGTTAGTTTCGGCTGTCGGCAGTTAACCCCATTTTTCGAGGTTGGCCCGGGTCCATCATTTTCTTACACTGTTTAAAACAAAATTATTTATCTATTTCAATGAACAAAAACGTAAAGACCAACAACAACAACAACAACTGGACACGATTTTACAAATTTCGACAAATTTCAAATGCTTCACAGCCGGCGCAGGTATTATCTGAAGTACGCTAGTTTAACAAAAACTGCCGTAAATCAAGTTAATGTTCTGATACATAAGCATGGGAAGTTTTAATTAAACACTTATTAAAGCAATATTTACACTGAATAGTAACAACTAGGCGCCCTAAAACAAGTCATGCTGGACCCTGCATTTATTCGTTTTATTTCACAAATTCTCCTCTGTATTTTTGTGTAATTCCATGAGTGGCGTAGCTATCTGTACGCCAGCAGCATCCGGTCCTTCTATTTTTCAGTAACGTTGGCCCTTTATTCCAAAACTGTACGCCACTACGTACGAGCGCAACTAGAACAAATTTCGAAAAGCAAATAAGCAAAAACTAAACAAAGGATAACTGGAAACCGTGAAATTTCATAGATATTTCTTTCCCTTTAAACAAGTTTTTAGTTTGCCAGAATTACGAAACGGCAAGTAACTCAGCTGATTAAAGATGTAAGATAAATATTAAGAGCTAAAATGTTTCCTTCCTCGGCATTCTTTGAATAAAACTCCTGGTGACATTTCGGGCATTTTGCATGTGACAAAGTTCCAGTAAATTCCATCACTGGTGATCTCTTGCTGCATTTGGGGCACTTGAATTCTGCCCGCCTAAGACTCGGCAATTTATCCATTAATTTTCTGGTAACTTCGGATCCATGTTTCTCGTAATAGGTTCTTTCTTCTTCTGTCAAATCTTCTGTTTCCCAGAAAACGTCAATAAATTCCAATCCAAGAACGTCTGCGTTCTGCACTTTGAAAAATCCCACATTTCCCCAGGTTTCTCCCCAAGAATTTAGCAGTCGTAAACATTGGCTGTCGAAACTGGTCAACACAACAGCATGGCCAAAGGTAGGAGTATGGTGAAGACGGGCTGCTGTGTTGATCTCCTCATTCGTCAAAATACCTTTTGGGTTTAGTCGAAAGAAGCTTCCAAAACATTTCCATTCATGTTTAGTGAGCCAAAATGTTGCCACTACTGGACGACTTGAAGTGATCGCTTTCATGGCACCCTTGAGACCAACTTGCTTGCAACGTAGGCGATACTTCGGGCACATCTTCTGCAGCACAAGGAAGGTATTGGCACCGTCACGTCCAAAACGGTTGATAAATTCTTCTCTTAACTTGGAGAAATCTGGATATCCGCCTTTGCGTCGAAGAATTCGTTTCATGGACAAATGGAGAACTGTAGCAGCTGCGTTCGCATAGCAGGTCCCCCCTTCTTGCTTCGTTTTTGCCTCATAACCCTTTAATTCTTGGTTGATATAGACATCTAGATTAACGGATGCAAGCATATCGGATAACGCGTCTTGACAACAGACTACATTTCGAGCCACCTCGCATCCCTCTCGAAGGTGTTCTGGATGATTGACCTGCAAGAACAAATGTGTCTCATTGTCGGTGATGTCGATGGTCCAATCACGTTTCACAAACATTGTGCGTGGTAGGGATTGTGTTGACAACTTTGAGCTCAATGAGAACATGAACTTTGCGACCAGGTCCCAGTCGGGTTCCTCTTTGCTGAATAGTCTTTTAGGGTCAATATGTGTGGAGTCAGTGATAAAGCAGCTCACAACGGTCACATCTGCTTCGGTAAATCTAGAAATCAGGCGATCTATTCCAGCACGGCCAGTGGTCTGTCCATCTGTAGGGTCCCCATCTGACAAGATAAACAGCATCTTTTTGTGATGCGAAAATTTGGGTTCATGAAAAAGTGCTATTGCTTCTCTAATCGCTCGAAAAAAAGGCGTTCTGCCATAAATGTAAGGCTCGATTTTCTGCAACAATTCCCGACTCCTTTGGTTAGTGAGTTTTTTTTCATCGACGCATCCATGCACAACATCTGACGCATCTTGAACATTGAAAATGGCATCTACATCTACTTTTTTTACCTTTTTTTTAACTTTTTTTTGCAGATAAGCTTTGGCCTTTTCCACTACCTCTGTGACGTCTTCTACTGTAGCCTTTCTATAACACTCGGTCACCACCGACGAATACACCTCTTTCCCTGCTCTTGGCCCTAACTTTAAAGCTCCCATTGAACCCAATACACCTAATCCTACAGGTGGAGCCACCATCCCAGCAACAAGAGCCAAACCACCTAGCATTAACAACTTGTCCAGTCCCGGTTCAGGCCAGTCGCGACAAGCTGGTGGTAGAATTTTTTCGACGAATTCTTTAAGAAACGAGTGATCAGATTCAAACTTTTTCAGAAACACAACAGCCAAGTTATCTGTTAATGCTTTTTTGACGACTTCGACCTCTGCCCATTTGCGAATTGTACGTGCCCCGGCACCCTCTAGTATCTTGAAAATCTGGTTTATGTGTTCAGTTCTGGCAGGCCCTTTAGCAACATTATCTAGATTCGGAAACTGTTTCAGAGTTCCTATGATATCAAATACTTCCTCACCACAACTAGCCCCAAAGCCTATTGCAAATACATGGTTATCAGATGAAATATCGTATTTGATAAGGTTGTCAATAACTTCAAAGATCGAGCGAGCCCATGGTCCTCCTTCTTCATCAGTACCCTCGCCAATGTTACGACGCATGGAACCGGAGACGTCAAGTAGGATTCCAGTCAAGGATGCCATGCTCTCACCTGCAATCAAAAGAGAGTAGGCCTTGCCATAAAAGTTGAAAAATCACAGAACCATCAATTCAAATCCTAACATCGATGTCAGAATCCTTGCTCAGGGTTATTGTGTTGCCATCGTTAGTCTGTTCTTACTTTGAACATAACATTGAACAAGACAAAATACGCAAAGTCTTGTTAATAAAGCAGGAACTGAACGAATTGAATGATTTTGCTCCTTTTTGCTAATTCCTAGTAGTTTGGAGTAATTTGCGTAGGGGGCGTCTATTAGACAAGGAACGGTTATTAGAGAGGGGTTCTAATTCAATTTTAACAGCGTAGAGGGGACATTTTTCAGATAAGAGGCGTTTATTTGGGAGTGGGCGTCTATTAGGTCATTTGCGGTACTCTTTCGATTATTCAGTGACATCACTAGTAGATATTTGAATAATCTGAAGGTGGACGTACACATGATTACAGGAGCGCTTACAGATTCTATTTTTTCCATACTTATTTAAAAAAATAATGAGCTCTGTTTCGTGTGCCAGCGCGGTTTTTTTTTCAAACCATGTTTACTAGAACAGTTATTAGATTTTGTTTCAGTGTATCCGATTCTGAGGGTTGTTATGGAAGAACAATAAATTCTTAGAGGAATTAGAAGAGTGCCAGGTTGCCGATAAAAGCAAATAGCAGTTGCGTGGAGGAGGATTGGCAAGCACTAGCTATTTGGCGGAAAATTTAATGTTATCGAGATAAGCCAAACGCTTGGAATAATTGCTATTTTCTTGGTAAAAGGCACTGGCTTAATTTTTGCTTGCCTTTCTAAGTTAACTAAACAAATAACAGCTTTAGACTTTCTTTTTCAGCTTTCTAAGAACTTTTTTTCGCGGAGAAATTATTGATACAGGAGTTTATAAAATTCATACCTTTAAGCCACCTTTTAAATTTTTCAGTAGTACTTTTCTGTTTGTCACTTTAATTCTATTTATCAACTGTAAAAGCTTTAGCCTCGGATTTGCTAGGTATGTAAGTATTTCTGTCTGGATTTGATAAAACATGGCTAAAGAAATTTCAAGGGCATTTTAACAATTTGACATCTAAGTCAAATAGAACGCAGTTAAAAGTCACTAGCTGAGGCTTAACAATCACAACTTTGTTGCTGGTAACAGACGGTAAATTGCTCTCGCAAAAGTAACAGGATTTTGCAATGAAATAAACATTTGAAACAAGACAAACTTAAAGCAAGGGGCTCACATACACCAACCCACGGCCTGGCCAGTAACTCACGCATGCGCACAGCCATATCACCCGGGCAGTGGCAGCCATGGACAACTGTTTCGCCCTTATTTCGGCTCATCAGCATGGCATAGCCGTCGAGCCTCTGTACGGCGAAGCCGTCTTCACAGGCCCTGCACTCGCTTCGGCAGTAAGGGGCCTCTGAAGACGGCTTTGCCGTACAGAGGTTCGACCGATATGCCATTCTATGAGCCCCAATAAAGCCGAAACAGCCGTCCATGGCTGTCGCTGCCCGGGTGATATAGCTGTGCACATGCGCGAGTTACTGGTCAGGCCGTGGGTTGGTGTATGTGTGCCCCTTGCTTTAAGTTTGTCTTAACATTTGAAACGCTCAGAAATTATAACCTTTTAGTCAGTCAAATCATGAGGCCCATAGCAAATTGTCTGCAAAAAAGATTAGGAATCCACAATCTTTGAGCACAGAATAGGCTTAGCTAAACACTCACGAAGTGTTTTTATGCTTGGCACAAAGTATTCTGGTAACACGAGCTCAACCACACACCTGAGTTTTGTATGTCAACGCCTTCGGTAAATCACACAATAAAAGACTTCCGCGGCAGTCACAACACTTCCGAAAACTACTGGCAATATTTCCACATTTAGCACGGGCGAAACATCGTCAAATCACTCCGAAAAACTCTCGCTTCCTTCGCATAAATCGTCGCATGGAAGCTTTTCTCGAATCGCACAGTCGATTCATTCATCCAAGTTCCCGGATGTTAACCAGCGGTTGAAAAGGAGACATGGAGCCTCCGCCTTCCAAAAAATTTTTAACTAAGGCCGGGGGCACTCCCTTATATAAGCCATACAGGTACGTGCCGCCCTAAAAGGGTATGGTTTTTGTGCCGTTTCGGTCTGAAAACGGAAATAGATTTTGCTCATTTTGGTCTGGAATCGAGCATAGTTTTCGAGGAAACTACGAAAGTGTATGTACGTATTTATCGTTTCAATTCCAAATGAATCAGAGAGAAAGAGTAATATGCGAATTCGAAATGGATTTTAAGAAATGTTTTTGTTTGAGCTCTAGTCTAAAAATGATGACTTAATTTCTATATATACGGCCTGAAAAGACGGGTATGGAATTACAGGACCGCGTCTGAAAACAGTTGTGGAAAATAACATTTTTCAGTCTGAAATAGGGTCAGCATTTGGAGAACCAGGCGGCACACCCCCACCAAAATTTCCCGAGAATACCCCGCCGGGTAACTAAATCTGTGGCCTGGTCAGAAATCAGCTTCAATTTCCTTCTCGCCAAATAGATACGACCCCTAGAACCTACTTTGTGAAGTCAAAGACCTTTTACTGCCAACTAATAAACCATCTGAAAGCAATGGTCACACTACACAACTCCGCGGTATGGTTCAGTACCTTACGCATGCGCACAGCCATATCACTCGAGCAATGGCAACCATGGACAGGTGTTTTGCCCTTTTTGGGGATTATCAGCATGACATAGCCGTCGGGTCAATGAACAGGGTAATCCCTGTGTATCAAAGACCATCTGAAAGCAATGGTCACACTGCACAATTTCGCGGTATGGCGAAACAGCTGTTCATGGCTGCCACTGCCCGAGTGATATGACTGTTCCCATGCGTAAGGTATTGGCTATACCGTGGAGTTGTGTAGTGTGACCATTGCTTTCAGATGGTTTATTTTTACAAAGCTCGTCATATCCAATCTTTCGGTCTCAAGCCCGGGATCAGTCTTTCACCAGTGTAACCAAAAGAGACGAAATACGAGAAGATATTGGACGCAGCAGACTTTGCTCAAGGCAGCTAAAAAAAACTCTAAGACGAGAGCCGAGTCTAATAAGCTCGCCGATTTCAAACCGACGTAAAGGGAGAATTATGGGAAGCAGGAGCCCATGACCCATAGGCTCCTGTGGGAAGTTATGAAAAGCGATTTTTTTTGGGCGGGGGTTAAGTTAGGCCCGGTTCAGACGCCGAACTTTTCATGAGCCGAACCTAATTCGAATTAAGGCCGACCCAAATTATTCAGACCGGCTGAATTGATTCAGACGCCGATCTTAATCCCAGCCGAACTAAATTCAGAAGACGAAAAATGCTCATTTCGGTCAAACTGCTTACAAAATACGTTATAAGAATTTATGCTTTTGGTTTTGTACATGAAAAGTTCGGCGTCTGCATCAAAGGCGTTCCAAAGTGGATCCAAAGTCAAAATTCCCGGCTGGGCTGGGTGGAAAGAACGGCTGAACCGCTTCAAACTGAAACATGCGTTCCTAAGGCCCGGTTCAGACGCCGAATGTTTCATGAGCCGAACTTCATTCGAATTAAGGCCTACCCAAATTATTTAGACAGCGGGCTGATTTGATTCAGACGCCGAACACAAATCCCGCGAATTTCGTGTTACAAGAAATTACTGATAGTTGCGAAAGGCTTTTGCAAAGATTTTGTATCCGTTGGAGCGGCTTAGACTATCCGTTCGAAAAAAATTTGCAGTGCTGTCAACTCTCCCGGATAATCCGGGATACTCCAGATTTTAGAGTCTGATATCTCCGGGATAATTGCCAAAGTTGCTATTTCTTGTAGACTCGACTTTCCGACCATAAAATTTCGAATTTTTTGTCCTCATAAATTCTGGTATGCCATGGTAATTTAAGGAATAATGTGGCTAAATATGAACTGTTTATGTGCTATATACGTCGATTGAGATCAATGAGCATTTTTGGCACAAATGACGTCATTTGTCGTGCGATATGACGTCATCTATAATTCCTTCCCTATCAATCCTCAATATTTGATGATGTGGGGGGTTGACAGCCCTGAAATTGTCATCCGTTCGAAAGAGGAATGTCAACCCTTCGAACGACTCAGGCTATCCCGACGTTTGAGAAAAATTGTCATTCGTTCGACCGGCTCGGGATATCCGTTCGAAGAAAATTGTCACGCGTTCGAACGCCTCGAGCTATCCGTTCAAAACAATTGTCAGCCGCGCTACTGTTCCAAACCATTCACTTCTTTTACCCGAGCCGTTTGCGACGAACCTGTCAAAAACTGTAAGCTCAAATAATTCTTCAAAGCCTTGTTTACCATTATCTCATGAGTTTTCACACGGTACATTTTCTGCTGAATAGCCTTCTTTGCTTTGACAACATTCGATTATAGTTACAATTAAGTTTGATTTAAGACTGCTAAGGTTTTATATTCAACAAATTTCCGGAACAAGTGATGTTTTGACCTCTTCGTTAGCCTGAATTTCAGACGATTACTTCGCTCGAGTCGTTTTTGCTCCCTCAGTAACGTCTGAGCCGCTTCAAACTGAAACATGCGTTCCTAAGGCCCAGTTCAAACGCCGAATTTTTCATGAGCCGAACTTAATTCGAATTAAGGTTTACCCAAATTATTTAGACAGAACAAAAAGAAAGGAAAGGTTTTATCACTCATTCGTTTTGCAAATTACCCTTATACATGTACATCAAGAGACTATAAAGGGGACAGAGAGGGCATCTCCCATATACACCCTATTCCATAGGTAATTCGTCTCGAGTTATTTTTAACACCACAGATCTCAAGGGGGATTAGACAACAGCCAATCACATAGCGCGAATGTGTTCCGCGTGGATGACCCACGCTGAGAGCCACGCGTCCTTCCCGAAATGACGCAGAACAAAATGGGGGAAGACGCGGGGAGCGATTTTGCTATTCTTTTTGTCGACGAAAACGACTACAGCGAGATTTCTGCGAGAGCTGTGTCAGCGAAACCGAAATTAAAAAAGAATCGCCCTTCCTCTCTTGTATAGAGCTAACAGTAGAGCAGGGAAATCCTTAACACACTAAATATTCTCTCAGGATCATTAATAATTTACAGTTTGAAGAGAGCAATTTCTGGTTTGATGTTTATTTTTTTCAGTCTTTATAGCGATTATTCATACCCACTTACTTTGTCAATTGTAGGCGAACCCTCCTAAAGCTGAATTTCAAGGGACCATATTCAAGCTCAGAAAGAGAAATAAAATTTCGTCGTTGTTTATTTACGTCCTCCATAAAACGCGAAATTAGGCATTTTCACGTCGTAGTCGTGCAAAAACGGGAAAGAAATGAACAAAAAAGTGTATTGCACGTGCGAAGTTGTTGTTTTGCTAATTAAACCTATTGTTTTTTTGACGTTCTAGTTGTCGTCCACGTCGTTGGATCTTAAACTCCCTAAATTGTACAAACGACTGGTTTCAATAAACTAGCGAAATTTCTCATTTTATTAAAGCACTGAGGTTACGACAACTTCGAGTTAAACTGATTTCACGGGTTGCCAAAGAGTCCAGCGATTCCTTTTTCCCAGGTGAGCGCCGACTAATTTCGCTTCAATATTCAGGAATGCTCTCGATCTTTTTTCGCTTTCATTGCCTCTCGCCCGACATGTTTTGCACGGCGTTTGGTCACGCGAAACCTCCACGAAACATCCACGCCTCGCTCGAGGTAACTTTATCCCGATTCTAAAAATAACTCGAGACGAATTAGCTATGGAATAGGGTGTATATGGGGGATGCCCTCTCTGTCCCCTTTATAGTCTCTTGATGTACACTTTACTATCAGCTAAACGCAAGTAGAATTGAAACATGAAAACATGTGAATCTGAGTAAAACGCAATGCTGAGCTCTTTTCGTAATTTCTAAGGTGTATGGTCATTTCGCTGCATAATGAAGTCGATTCGCTGTATCATGAGGTTGATTCACTTTACAATAAAAGTTAATCTTCAACATACCTTGAGTCCTTGTTGATGACATTTCCTGAAATTCACTCTGTGCGTACCGTGCGATACCCAAGAGTTAAAAGAGGATGTCCACACGCCGGGTAAAATTTTCGAACTTTGTCGGTTGTCGGTTAATCTAGGTTGATGTGTAAAATCAAGTTTATTATTAATATTCGTTATTTAATTCACACAGTTTAAATTCTATACAAGGGTAACACTTCTTCATTCCGTGCTGATCAATCATTTGATTACAATGAAACGTTATCTAAAGTCTGGTGTGCTTGAGCTGCGCGATCGTTTGCGCCACTTTAAGCATTCTTTAACCAGTCCCTCCCAGTCCACAGACCAGCGAAGTAAGGGACGGACCATTAGAAAACTTATGGGCGTGGGGAGGGGGGTGCGAAGTACAAAAAAAAATATTCGTGGAAGGGAACATTAAATGAAAAAAAATTTCTGCACGCCAGTTAACCCTAAAAACCCTATGGCCTAAAAAAAAAAATTGTCTAGTTAGCATACGAACAACCAGAAACTCATAAGGGCGCACACTAGAAAAATGGCCGACAAACGGGGGAAAAACTCCCGACAGCAGAGTAAGCTTTCAAAGGTTGAATCCAGGAAGCTTACCGAAATACTGAGCAGGAGATTTGCTTACCACCCTGGCCAAACGCAACATTATGAAACCCACTGACGACCAGGCGACTTATTGAAGTGAGTCGATGGGCCTCTGCGTAGTAAACATATGATGCAAATAGGCTTTTAAAATTCTCACATTAAAAGTCTAGAATTTTCGAATAAAAATTCATTAGCTGCATATCGGAAAGTGTCCAAAAAAGTGAAAGTGACAATTGTATAAAATTCGCCGACAACTTCGCAAAAGTGATGCGTTTAATGTGAGAAGCATTAAGCTTAA